AGGGGTCCAAGATTATCTTCTGTGTCTGTATTTATTGGTTTCCCTTTTCTTTGTTGAAGAGGGTCTGTGCAATCCTTCTGCCTAGTCCGCCATCTTCTGTTCCTGTCAGTTTGCTTTTACAAAAAAAAATTCAAACAATTGAATAATCCTGTACATACATATTTCTACACCTTTCCAATAAATATCTAAAAGTGAAATTTATATATATACCTCTAGAAAGATTATACCATAGTACCAATATACTCTCCCACCTGCAGTGTAAGAGAGTGCCTGTTTGTCTACTGTCTGGGCCACGTTTGATAAATGATGAATCTTTCTGTACCAAGCTGGTGGGTAAAAAGTGATGTATTTGTTTCCATTTGGATTATGAGGTTGAATACATTTTCATATTCATCAGTCATTTGGTTGTTGTTATCTTTTGCCTAGTTTTTCCCCACGGCTTTTTTTTTCCCCCTTACTGACATGTATGAGCTGATTGTAAATCAAAGGAGCCCTGTTGACACCACAATTAAGCACTTGGCTGCTAACCAGAAGGTTGCCAGTTGGAGAACCCCAGCAGCTCTATGTCTGCAGGAGAAAGACCTGGCAATCTGCTTTCGTAAAGATTACAGCCAAGGAAATGCTATGGAGACTTTCTACTCTGTCACATAAGGTCACTATGAGTGGAAATTGTTTCCAGAGTACCTGATATTATAAATTAGGAATACTAACCTTTGTCTTCTGCTAACTTGTGTTTTTCATGGTAATTGTATTTATGGTGATTTAATAAAAAATTGTACAGAACATTTTAAATGTGCTGTGGAATTATAAAGTCATGTTTAGAATTATCTTATGTGGTAAAATGGACCTGAATTTTCATTTATAATTTCTGACTGTGTTCCACGAAGGCGTCTTCACCACCTAAATGTTATGAATAAACTCACCTATGTTTTCTTCTAAAATTTTGCTAAGATTTAAATATCTAATTCACACAGAATTTACTTTTATTTTTTCCTGAGACGGGTAATCAGTGGCTCCAACATCATTCATTCACTAAGCCATTTTTTCATACTCTACTTATTCCTGGATCTTTAAAGCCTCTTATCATGGCTCTGCTCTTTACTATGTTCATTCCTTCTCCCTTCAAGGTCATTTTGATGGTTACATCATAATCTATTAAGGAGCTCTAGTGGTACAGTGCCTGAGGCATTGGGCTGCTAACCAGAAGGTTGCCAGTTCAAACCCACCAACCACTCCGAGTACTGCCTTAGAAATCCAATGGGGCTCGCTGTGAGTCGTAATCCACTCACAGCAGTGAGTTTGGCTTTTTTTTTTTTTTTTTTTAAACAATAGTCTATTATATGTGTGTACTATCTACAGCCATAGGACCCTGAACGCACACGATCTCGTCTGATCTTGGAAGCTAAGCAGGGTGGGTTGGGCTAGTTAGTACTTAGATGGGAGACCATCTGGGAATACCAGGTACTGTAGGCTTTTGCCTTAGGCCTCTGGCCTCTGCCTTCTGGGCGCTCTGGTAGTGAAGTGCCTAAAGCACTTAACTGCTAACCAGAAGGCTGGCAGTTCAAACCCACCAGCCACTCCTCAGAAGGCAGATTGGGCAAGCTACTTCCATAGTGATACTGCCTGGGAAACACGAGAGGTCGCTATGAGTCGGGTGGACTCGATGGCAAACAACAACAATTTTTAGGAGCTCTGGTAGCATAGTGTGTAAGGTACTTGCCTGCTAACTAGAAGGCTGGCAGTTCAAACCCACCAGCCACTCCTCAGAAGGAAGGCTGGGCAATCTGCTTCTGTAGTGATACCGCCTTGGAAACCCAGGGAGGGGTCGCTATGAGTTGGGTACAACTACATGGCAAACAACAATTTTTAAGCGATACCTTATTACTAGATTTGGGAAAGTTTCCTATTTTTTTCACTCAACGGTAATTTCAGACTGAAACATTATCTGCCTCGTTGGTTCAAGTTGCACAAATTACAGTTTACACTGTTTCTTTAATTATTTAAAAAATTACAACCAATATGTTTTGTTGGCATCAATTATTACAATTGGCAAGGAACCCTTTGGCCAGGGGCTGGGATTACCCAGGAGAGAGCTCCCAAATTCACCAGGGGGCGCAGTTTTACGTCTCCACTTTAGCCACATCCGGGTTCCACCGCAGGTTCGTGCCCGGATCAAGCGGAACCTTCCCGTTGTGCCTCTGATTAACCTGCGCGGCGGAACGGTTCAGGCCTCTGCACACCGCTCTCCACGCTTGCTTCAGTTTGCTTGGGGCACGAAGGCGGGCGTGAGGGTTCTGTCTGCTGCTTCCTTTGTAATAAGCAGAGTGGGCAAGATGGACGTACTAGCGGAGGAGTTTGGGAACCTGACCCCGGAGCAGCTTGCTGCTCCGATCCCCACCGTAGAGGTGAGCGCCGGGCGGGCGGGGAGCGGATGGGACCGGGAAGTGTACTGAGGGGGCGTTGCTCGGAGAACTGTGGTCGTGGAGGGAGGGCGAGCCGGCAGTTTCTGCGCATGCTCACGGGTCTGCGCGTGTAGGTTCATTTCTGCCCCGGCGGTCGCGTGCATGGGGAAGGGCTGAACCTAGAGGAACTGTCTGTTGCCACTGGGCCTGGGAAATCTTGAGGATGAGCTTCGGGTTGTCCTCTTCCCGGGCACTGTTCATGTGTCTGGAAGGATTGGTTCTCGCACCCACTCGAGGGCGAATTACACCTCCTGGCCTTACAGAGAAAGACCCAGAGGCCCAGGGAGCTTATGACCCTCCGATTCCGCAACTCGTTGTGATGAAACCAAATCCTCTGAATGTCAAGTTTAGGAGTCGTGCCTTTTAACGACGAATTCAAGTTCGGGCTGTAGAAGTGTTTGAAACGCCTCGAAAATTAATTAAAGTTTTTGCCTATGTGTTTTTTATTTTTGGTTGTTATTCTGGGGAGAAGCCCCGCAGTTTTCATCAGCTTCTCGGAAGGGTAACTGCCCTGTAGCGAGCTGCCTAATGAAGTTCATCTGTTGATGTAATTTTGTTTTCTGGAAAGGAGCGTATTAAATCTGGTTGGTTTGGAGCAGGAAAGTGGAAAGACAAGGCTGGAGAAGGGACCATTCTGTGGAGAACGATGGCATTCTTGGTTAAGTGGAAGGTCAACGAAAAGGGGAAGGCCCATAACGAGATGATTTGACAGGGTGGCTGTAACGTGGGCTCAGGTGTAGTAGGGATCGTGAGGTTGGCGCAGGACCTGGCAGTGTTTTGTTCTATTGTACATAAGGTTGCTACGAGTCGGAGACGACTCAATAGCACATAACAACAATTGTAGGCAAGACCACCTGTTGTTTTTGAGGTACTAAATAAATTCCTTAGTACTGAAATGAAGAAAAAGAGGAGTAGAGATGAAAGATGCAGGTAGATAAGGAACCCTATTATGAAAGGCTTGGCTAGACATAGAATGACCTTGAACTTTATCCTGGAGGCAGTTGAGATGCAGTTGTAGGGGTTAAGCAGGAGAGTGGCATGATCAGCAAATCTGTTGGAGTATAACAACCTCCTAATAATTTGGCAGGTTGGTGAGGTCTAATTATAATCCAGAAACCTACTGCCATCCAGTCCATTCCAACTCATAGCCACCTCATAGGACAGAGTAGAACTGCCTTCAGCGTTACCAAGGCTGTAAGTCTGTACGGAAGCAGATTGCCTCATCTTTCTCCCGCAGAGTGGCTGATGGGTTCGAACCTGTGACCTTTGGGTTCGCATCTGAGTGCCTTAACCACTGCACCACCAGAGCTCCTCAATTATAATCAGTCATTAAAATTCAGGCTATGACTGTTGGTACTACACTGTTGATCATCAGGCAATACTGGATCTTAACTCTTAATAGCCAGCATTTACTGAGCATTTACTATGTACGAGGCACTGTTTGTGGGAGCTGTGGTGGCGTAGTGGCTAAGGCATTTGACTGTTAACTAGAAGACTGGCGGTTCAAACCCACCAGTCACTTCTCAGAAGGAAGGTTGGGTACTCTACTTCCATAGAGATGCTGCCTAAGAAACCCAAAGAGGGGTTGCTATGAGTTGGATTCAACTCGATGGCAATGAGTTTGGTTTGGTTTTGGGAGACACTGTTTATATATAACATGTATTATGTTATTTAATTCTCAGAAATAAGAATTATTTTCACCCGCATTTTGCCATTGAAGATTTTTGAGTCTCAGAGAGGTTAAGTAATTATCCCAGTGTCAGAAGCTGATAAATGGTTCATCTAGAATTTGAACTTAGGCCATCTGACTACAGATACTTCCTCAACTAATGGCTGGATGACTTCTAAAGATAGATGAAGAGAGGCCTAGAAGATGTAAATGTCTTGCCTGAGTTGACAAAGCTATGAAGGGAACCAGTACCACAATTTGGGTCTTCTGAATCAGGAATAACAATTACTCTTCTTGGCCCTCTGTGTACAAACCACCACCACATCTTAAGGATCCTGTCTCTTAAATACTATGAAATCTAAAACTTCCCTCCCAATGTTCTTTAAGTCTGAAACATTGTCATCTCCTCCTAACTGGCCTCCCTGGTTCCTGACTTGCCTCACTCCAATTTATCCTTTGCTCAGTAGCCAGTTGTTTTTAGGTGATGTCCAGTCGATTCCGACTCACAGCGACCTTGTGAACAACAGGAGGAAACACTGCCCATTCCTGCATCATCCTTACAGTCCTTGCTGTGCTTGAGTCAATCATTGTAGCCACTGTGTCAGTCCATCTCACTGAAGGTTTTTCCCTTTTTCTCTGACCCTGCACTTTATCAAGCATGTTATCCTTCTCCAGGGACTGGTCCCTTCTAACAACACTTCCAAAGTGGGTGAGACAGAGTCTGGCAATTCTCGCTTCTAAGGAGCACTCTGATTTCACTTCTTCCTGGACAGATTTGTTCGTTCTTCTGACAGTCCATGGTAATTTCAGTATTCTTTACCAGCACTACAGTTCAAAGGTATCAGTTCTTCTTTGGTCTTCCTTAGTCACTGTCCAGCTTTTACATGCATATAAGGTAATTGAGAATACCATTGGTTGGGTCAGGTGCACCTTAGTGTTGAAAGTGACATCTTTGCTCTTAGCACTGTTGTTGTTACGTGCTGCCAAGTCGGACCTGACTCATAGCGACCCCTCCTTGGGTTTCCGAGGCAGTATCACTACGGAAGTAGATTGCCCAACCTTCTTTCCAAGAGGTGGCTGGTGGGTTTGAATTGCCAGCCTTCTGGTTAGCAGTAAAGTGCCTTAAGCACTATACTACCAGAGCTCCCCTTAACACTGTAAAGAGGTCTTTTGTAGCAGATTTACCCAGTGTAATACATTGTCTGATTTACCCAGTGTAATACATTGTCTGATTTCTTGACTACTGCTTCCATAGGTATTGATTGTGGATCCAAGTAAAACGAAATCTTTAAATCTTCAATCTTCATTTATTGTCATGTTGCTTATTGGTCAACTTGTGTGGTTTTTTTTTTTTTTTTTTTAATTAATGTTGAGGTGTAATCCATACTGAAGACTATACTTTTTGATCTTCATCAGTAAGTGCTTCAAGTTATCTTCACTTTCAGCAAGCAAGGTTGTGTCATCCACATATCACAGGTTGTTAATGAATCTTCCTCCAGTTCTAACGCGACATTCTTCATATCGTCCAGCTTCTCGGATTAATTGGTTAGCATACAGATTGAATAAGTATGGTAGAAGGATACAACCCTGACACACACCCTTCCTGACTTTAATCTATGTAGTGTTAACCCTTCTGTTTGAATGACTGCATCTTGGTCTATGTGCAGTTTCCTATGGGCACAATGAAGTGTTCTGGAATTCCCATTCTTTTCAGTGTTACACATAATTTGTCATGATACACAGTCAAATGTCTTTGCATAGTCAGTAAAACACAGGTAAACATCTTTCTGATATTCTTTGCTTCCAGCTAAGATCCATCTGACATCAGCAGTGATACCCCTCATCCCATGTCCTCTCCTGAATCCAGCTTAATTTCTGGAAGTTCCCTGTCAATATACTGCTGCAACCATTTTGAATTATCTTCAGCAAAATTTTACTTGTATGATATAATGATATTGTTTGATAATTTTCACATTCTGTCAGATCACCTTTCTTTGGAATGGGCACAAATACGGATCTCTTCCAATTGGTTGGCCAGTTGGCTATCTTCCAAATTTCCTGGCATAAACCAGTAAGTGGAGCCAGCTCTGCATACATTTGTTAAAACATCTTAATGGCTATTCCGTCAATTCCTGGAGCCTTGTTTCCCTCTAGTTCCTTCAGTGCAGCTTTGACTTTTTCTTTCAATATCATTGGTTCTTGGTCATCTGCTACCCCCTGAAATGGATGAACGTTGACCAATTCTTTTTGGTACAGCGATTCTAAGTATTCCTTCCATCTTCTTTTGATGCTTCCTACATCATTCAGTATTTTGCCCACAGAATTCTTTAATATTTCAATTCAAGTCTTGAATATTTTCTTCAATTCTTTTAGCTTGAGAAATGCATAGCATGTTCTTCCCTTTTGGTTTTCAACTTCCCAGGCTTTGCACATTTCATTATACTCCTTTACTTTGTCTTTTCAAGCTGACCTTTGAAATCTTCTGTTCAGTTTGTTTATTTCAACATTTCTTCCTTTTGCTTCTGCTACTACTCTCTGTTCAAGAGGAATGGAAAATAAGAAGTTGTCAAAAATGAAATGGAACACATAAAGATTGATATCCTAGGCATCAGTTGGCTAACATGGACTACACTGGCCATTTTTAATCAGACAGGCATATGGTCTACTATGCCCAGAATGACAAATTGAAGAGGAATGATGTTGTATTCGTTGTCAATGAGAACATTTCAAGATCTGTCCTAAAGTACAATGCTGTCAGTGATAGGATAGTATCTATAGGCCTATGAGGAAACAGGTTAATACAACTATTATTCAAATTTATGTACCAACTACTAAAGTCAGCAATGAAGAAATTGAAGAATTTTACCAACTTCTGTAGTCTGAAATTGACCAAACATGTAATCAAGATGTAATGATAACTATTGCTGATTGGAATGCAGAAGGTGGAAATGAAGATGCATCAGTATTTGGAAAGTACAGCCTTGGTGATAGAAATGAGCTTGGAGATCGCATGATAGCATTTTTACAAGATCAATGACTTATTCATTGCAAATACCTTTTTTTAACAATATAAAC